TTTCATTCTTAGAATTTTTTTTTTCTTTTAGAACAAGTGATTTTTTATGTTACTAATTTTATGGAAGAAGGACAGCTCAAAATATTTTGTATGATTAATGTATTGAAAAATACAGTGATAATAAAGTTTTAATTATTTGTTCTTGTTAAAATTGTTTCATCTCCAATTTTTTTTTTTTTAAATACCACCCTAATGTTATCACCAATTTGGTGATTCTGGTAATAGGTGATTTTTATTATCCCTTAAGTAGTCTGGCATGTTCCCAATGATTATGTGGAGCACAAAGTGTACAATTAATTTGGACGCATTTAATTAATGACGGAAACATTCTATAAAGTTAAAATCGGCAATAATTTATCCGAAAAGTTTGAGATTCATTTGGGTTTAAAACAGGATGATTCCCTTTTGCCTGTCCTGTTCAATTTGGCATTATAACATGTCATTAGGAAGGTAATGCGTACCAAGAAAGGGTTGGATCTGGGTGGAACAACATCCGTGCTTGTTTATGAGGATGATCTGGTCCTGTTAAGCGAAGACACAGAAACTATAAAACTAAATATAACAACGTTAAAGAGCTAGGGCTCAAAATAAATCCGGATAAGACAAAATATATGATTAACTGCAACAATGACGTTATTGCTGGTGATATGGATATAGAAGGTGATATATTTGAACAGGTAGAGAAGTTTGAACAGGTATTTAGGGTCTACGATAAATAGAAAAATACAAAATTGAAGAGAAGATTAAGGTTAGGCTGAGGGCAGGAAATGCTTGTTATTTTTCTGTGACAAAACTACTTAGCTCTCGCCTCTTGTCCTGGAACTTAAAAAACTAGAATCTATAAAATATATATCTCAACTGAATTAACCAACTGTTTAAACAGAAAATTATAAATCATAACTCTCTTGTCAAACAATGGGCCAGCAGATTTTATATGAGCCTTTCAGCTGACATAATCACTCACTCCAATATCAACATTTTTTAGTAAAGTCATTTTAGTGATATTTCTAGTAGCCAAATTTTATAATATTTGTACAGACAATGAGTAAGTTGATTCCAGAGTATGTGATTGTAGTGTTGAAATACATAACTGTGAATAAAGGTATAAATTTTCTTGTACTGTCAAAAGCGTATGACTTTTTGTTGCTCACTGTATATTATATTAAACGATAACATGGCTTATTTATTTTTAGTTCAATCATCAAATCTGCTACGATGTGAAAGAAGTTTCATTTCAACTCAAATTAAAAAATTACACATTTTTCTAATTTTTTTGTTAATTTAGATAAGTGTTCAATATTTGAATTTTATGAACTACTAATTTGTTAATTGTTAATTAATTGGCTACTGGTGGTTTTATATGTCTCAAAAAAACTAAATATTTAAATAACCGCATATTTTCTATTTATAATTTTTGTAATCAATATTATATCAAAATCAAAAAGAAAAAAAATTAATATCCCAAGATCCCAAATAAACAAGTTGTGAACAGTAACCCAAAAAGTTATCTGATCAAAAAAACTGAAGCCAAAGTATTTAAAAAAATACAAAAAGTTTACCTACAATGTTCTTGTAGTCTTGTAGTTGGAAAATTTCATTTATAAGTATACTTTCATATTTTATTTCTCTCTGGTATTTTCCTATTTAGCCAACTGCTTATATCAGTTGCAGACTACAAAATGCTACCTTTGATTATGGCCTGTTTTACTAACAGTGGCAACATATTGTCACATTGATTATATATTTAGAAATAAAAATACCCCTATCTCCTTGTTTAGTAAAATTTGTAAATTATATGATCCAGTAAAAAATATGTGAAATACTGATTTCTCACTGCTTAGAGCTATCAGAACCCCATATATGTCCATATCTCAAGGCCCTAACATAGTGAGTTGTACATTATGATTTTTTTTTTGTTTTAAATAATAATAATAATGCTTAGCGAACCCGAAAGTTCGATGCCGACACCACCAATCGCCTGTTACACACCTCCCTCCACCGTTCGCCGTCCAAACCCAGTCCCTTCAGATCGGCTTTAATGCAATCTTCCCACCTTCACTTCAGTCTACCCCTCGGAAGCTTACCATTCGGCACAGCAAATATTAACCTTTTAGGAATTCTCTCGTTACTAAGCCCAACAACTTTACAAGCCCATTTGATTCGCCGCAATGAAATCACATCAATTATATTACCCGGATACAGCTCACGCAATTCGGCGTTGTATAACTGTCTGAACTCTCCGGTTAACTCATCCTTCTTCGGTCCGAATATTCTACGCAATACTTTATTTTCAAAAACCTTAAGACGCTGCTCATCCCTTAATGTAAGCGGCCAAGTTTCGCATCCATAAAGAACTGTAGGCAAGATAATTGTTTTATAGATTCTAATTTTTAAGTTCCGGGACAAGAGGCGCGAACTAAGTAGTTTTGTCACAGAAAAATAACAAGCATTTCCCGCCTTCAGTCTAACCTTAATCTCTTCTTCAATTTCGTTTTTTCTAGTTATCGTTGAACCTATATACCTAAATTTATCTACCTGTTCAAACATATTACCATCTATATCGATATCACCAGTAGTATCGCCATTTTTGCAGGTAACCATATATTTTGTTTTATCCCCGTTTATTTCGAGTCCTAGTTCTTTCCCGGCTTTCATTAACGTTGTCGTATTTAGTTTTATAGTTTCCACGTCTTCGCTTAATAGTACCAGATCATCAGCATCGCCCAGCACGGATGTTGTCCCGCCCAGATCCAACCCTTTCTCGGTTCGCATTACCTCCCTAATGGCATGTTCTAATGCCAAATTGAACAGGACAGGCGAAAGGGAATCCCCCTGTTTTAAGCCCGAGCGAACCTCAAATTTTTCGGACAAATTATTACCGATTCTAACTTTACTGAGTGTCTCCGTCAAGCACATCCTGACTAGAATTACTAGTTTTTTTGGAATCCCCTGCTCGATTAGAATATTATACAGTTTCTGGCGGTCAATAGAATCGTAAGCCTTTTTAAAATCTATATACAGCTGGTGAACAATACCGTTATACTCCAATTTTTTCTCTAATATTTGCAGTAAAGAGAATATTTGATCAATAGTCGAACGATTCCGTCTAAATCCGCATTGGTAGTCTCCGATAATTTCCTCGGCGTATTCCGTGATTCGACTGGTTAAGATTGAAGTGAATATTTTATAACATACCGGAAGGAGTGAAATTCCTCGATAGTTATTACAATCCGTCCTCGGACCCTTTTTGTGAATTGGAATAAGAATAGATTCTTTCCATTCTTCAGGTAATTTCTCGTTCACCCAGATCTTTTTAACCAACCGATGTATTTTAGAAACTCCAGCTTCCCCGCATGCCTTAATTAGTTCAGTAGGAATATTATCGATTCCCGCTGCTTTGTATGATTTTAATTTTCCAATAACTACTTCAACTTCCTCTTTACTTGGTCCTTCTATTAACGGTTCAACACTCTGGTACTCAGGAGAAGGACACAGATCATAATTTCGCGTATTTAATATATTGTCAAAGTGGTCCTTAAATTTATTCAATATGTCAACCGGATCGGTCTGAATATTGTTATTATCATCCCTAATTCCAGATGTTACGGGTTTTTTTGTTTTAAGGGGACTCTAAATCTATGGCTATCGAGAAATGATATGGTAGTTAATCTTGATATACGCATTTGAAAAATATAGTGATTATTGCATCTCACTTGATCAACCAGTTTTAAGAGTGTTAATGGTGTTGATTCTCACTCCCTAATCTTTAAAAGTTATACAAAATAAATTAAAGTGGGATTCTGTTCTGCTTTGAAATCGCTGGTAACACAGCTTCATGATCCTCTCTCATTTTTATCATTTTCAGTTCTGTTGCCATTTTAATATGGAGAATAATAAGTTTATTCAAAAGCCATGAAATATTTTTTTACAACCTCAGTACCCAGTGCATTAGTTTTCCAAGAAAGGTATGTCAATTTTAATAAAATATTAGATACTGTGTGAAATTTGATACTAATATGTTTGAAAGTATTTTGAATTCACTCAGTTTTAAAAGCCTTTATGACCATGAAAGGCAAAATCCTCATTCTCTATATCCACATTCTTTAGAAAATCCTTAAGTATAGGAATTAAGGTAAGAAACAATCAATGATCCTCTGCCAAGCAATGCCATCTAAAATTTTGTTTCATGGCAACTATGGTTAATTCATCATTCATTTACTGCAAATCCACATAAAACTTTCTAAAAAAAAAATAACAAATTTAGCCAAATAAAATAAAACAGAACAATATAATTATTTATCAATTGTAATTATAATTATAATCTTTAATAATAAATTAGAATTATAATCTCTAGTTAATAGATGGGGTACTGAAAGAGAAAAAATTATAGATATATTTTTTTCAAAAACACGTATCTAATGCTATGCTGATGATTATGCATGCTCACATCAGTAGCTCCTTCCATAAATAAACGATTACTAAGAAATCGAAGAAGATGCTATTTCTCTCATTTTTTCCTAAAAAAATTATGGTCAAATGTCACGGAAATTTTAAAATAAGATTAATTAACTAATATAAAGGAAATGTGATGGAGATAGCGAGTGATGAACAAACCCTTATTAAAAAGGCAAGATACATAAATACTATATGGTAAAATAAATAGTATTTGTCACCATGCCGAAAGACAAGTAATCAGACTTAACCTTCATTTAGACATTCTGTGTGACATAAGAGAGAGCGCGCCTTAGTTCAACTGGAATTAACAAGCATTGTTTCTGATTTCTAATCTCGTCGGGCAGATTCCACCAATAACTATACTGTTTTGCAATTCATGAGCAAGATAATCAAACATCGATAGATATGTTTATGATCGGCTATGGTTCACCCACATTATTATTGGCACTTAAAATTCGTATTTCGAATTTTACTTTCCACTTGACATCGATCTTTTGATACAATACACTGTTTAAACATAGAATCACCTATGCATTGTTTAAACACTCAACCCTGTTTAACCAGTTATTGTACAATACGTTATCAGTACTGTTTTGGTAACCAGCCGTCAGAGCGATACACGTCACCAGTCGACTCAGTGTGGTATATTTACGTGACCGAAAGTAATCTGTTCTTTTTAAAAAACGTTAAACGACTTGTTATCGCAGTTCATTAATCATGGAAGTTAAAAAGGAACGGGCACGTGCAGCAAACTTCACCAAAGAAGAAGAGAACTTACTGTTAAGAATTATTAATAATCATAGTGATGTTATTGAAATCAAACTGACGGATTCGGTGACAAATTCAATGAAAGCTCGTGAGTGGAAAACAATTGCAGAAGAATTTAATGCCCAAAACCTTGGACAGTTAAGGGACCCTATATCATTAAGGACGAAATATGAAAATATCAAAAGAAGTAAGTTATAAGAGTTATATAAAATTGAAGGATAAGTTCCTAAACATAGCGTTGAGAACACTGATAAGCGTCGGAAATCCATCAATGGATCGTCACTTAATTTAGGAACTTGCGCCAATTAGGGATGGGTTGATACTAGAATTTTTGTATCTAGATACAACTGATACGGATACTTTTTTGTATCTGATACTTTTATCTGATACTTTTGTATCTGATACAAATGGGTCAGTAGTTTGGCATAACCTTCCTACTACTTTTGATCTGATACTGCTATCGGATATTTTTATCTGATACTAGTATCAGATATTTTTATCTGATACTAGTATCCGATATTTTTATCTGATACTAGTATCAGATATTTTTATCTGATACTGGCATCAGATACTTTTATCTGATATTTGTATCAGATATTTTTATCTGATATTTGTATCGGATATTTTTATCTGATATTTTTATCTGATACCCGCATTGGATACTTTTATCAGATATTTTTATCTGATACCTGGACTAGATACCCAGCCGTATGCACTGGCGCTTGGGCTTAATAGTTAATATATAATAGTTCTAATGACTGTATAGTTATGTCAGATACTATGAAAATATTTACACAATTTTTTAAACAAAATATGCTTCATATTTGACAAAAGAATGGAATATATTGAATAAAAATATAACAAATTCATGCAGAGAAAATATTTTCCTAATACAACGTTCTTAAAAATTTTGTAACAATTAAAAAAATTCTTTATAGCCAAGTTTAACATACACACACACACACACACACACATATATATATATATATATATATATATATATATATATATATATATATATATATATATATATATATATATATATATATATATATATATTTATTTATTTATTTTTTTTTTTTTTTTTTTTTTTAACAAGTATACTCAACCTCTGCCTGTCTTGGGCTATTTCTTTCCATTATCTGATATCTGTATCGGATATTTTTATCTGATACTCGCATTAGATACTCGAGCGGTATGCATACTGGCGCTTGGGCTTGATATCTTAATAATTGTATCAGATATTTTAATCCAACTTTAATTGATTATTGATCGGGTTTGATATCTTTAATACCTATTTGATACCTAATAAAACATATATTAAATATGTACTTATATACATTTTATTCCTTTATTATTAAATTTGTCCCTGTAATAAATACTTTACACCATTTTTAAATATAATAGTTCTAATTACTGTATAGTCATTACTATAATGACTTTATAGTCATGTCAGGTACTATGAAGATATTTACACAGTTTTTTAAAACAAAATATGCTTCATATTTGACAAAAGAATGGAATATATTAAATAAAAATGTAACAAATTCATGCAGAGAAAATATTTTCCTAATACAACGTTCTTAAAAATTTTGTAACAATTAAAAAAATTCTTTATAGCCAAGTTTAACATACACACACACATATATATATTTTTTTTTTTTCTGTTTGTATTACAGACCATGTAGATCTATATATCTATTGCCACCTTAACAAGTATACTCAACCTCTGCCTGTCTTGGGCTATTTCTTTCCATTATCTGATATCTGTATCGGATATTTTTATCTGATACTCGCATTAGATACTCGAGTGGTATGCATACTGGCGCTTGGGCTTGATATCTTAATAATTGTATCAGATATTTTAATCCAACTTTAATTGATTATTGATCGGGTTTGATATCTTTAATACCTATTTGATACCTAATAAAACATATATTAAATATGTACTTATATATATTTTATTCCTTTATTATTAAATTTGTCCCTGTAATAAATACTTTACACCATTTTTAAATATAATAGTTCTAATTACTGTATAGTCATTACTATAATGACTTTATAGTCATGTCAGGTACTATGAAGATATTTACACAGTTTTTTAAAACAAAATATGCTTCATATTTGACAAAAGAATGGAATATATTAAATAAAAATGTAACAAATTCATGCAGAGAAAATATTTTCCTAATACAACGTTCTTAAAAATTTTGTAACAATTAAAAAAATTCTTTATAGCCAAGTTTAACATACACACACACACATATATATATTTTTTTTTTTTCTGTTTGTATTACAGACCATGTAGATCTATATATCTATTGCCACCTTAACAAGTATACTCAACCTCTGCCTGTCTTGGGCTATTTCTTTCCATTATCTGATATCTGTATCGGATATTTTTATCTGATACTCGCATTAGATACTCGAGTGGTATGCATACTGGCGCTTGGGCTTGATATCTTAATAATTGTATCAGATATTTTAATCCAACTTTAATTGATTATTGATCGGGTTTGATATCTTTAATACCTATTTGATGCCTAATAAAACATATATTAAATATGTACTTATATATATTTTATTCCTTTATTATTAAATTTGTCCCTGTAATAAATACTTTACACCATTTTTAAATATAATAGTTCTAATTACTGTATAGTCATTACTATAATGACTTTATAGTCATGTCAGGTACTATGAAGATATTTACACAGTTTTTTAAAACAAAATATGCTTCATATTTGACAAAAGAATGGAATATATTAAATAAAAATGTAACAAATTCATGCAGAGAAAATATTTTCCTAATACAACGTTCTTAAAAATTTTGTAACAATTAAAAAAATTCTTTATAGCCAAGTTTAACATACACACACACACATATATATATTTTTTTTTTTTCTGTTTGTATTACAGACCATGTAGATCTATATATCTATTGCCACCTTAACAAGTATACTCAACCTCTGCCTGTCTTGGGCTATTTCTTTCCATTATCTGATATCTGTATCGGATATTTTTATCTGATACTCGCATTAGATACTCGAGTGGTATGCATACTGGCGCTTGGGCTTGATATCTTAATAATTGTATCAGATATTTTAATCCAACTTTAATTGATTATTGATCGGGTTTGATATCTTTAATACCTATTTGATACCTAATAAAACATATATTAAATATGTACTTATATATATTTTATTCCTTTATTATTAAATTTGTCCCTGTAATAAATACTTTACACCATTTTTAAATATAATAGTTCTAATTACTGTATAGTCATTACTATAATGACTTTATAGTCATGTCAGGTACTATGAAGATATTTACACAGTTTTTTAAAACAAAATATGCTTCATATTTGACAAAAGAATGGAATATATTAAATAAAAATGTAACAAATTCATGCAGAGAAAATATTTTCCTAATACAACGTTCTTAAAAATTTTGTAACAATTAAAAAAATTCTTTATAGCCAAGTTTAACATACTCACACACACACACACACACATATATATATATATATATATATATATATATATATATATATATATATATATATATATATATATATATATATATGTATATATATCCTATTTTCACCAATCAATCTACATCTTTTGAGATTTAGATTATATAGGACTTGTATAATATTTACAATACTATTATTGTATTCTTTGAACATATTAAATTACATATGTAAATCATTTAAAATAAATATTTATCAACTCTATTATTATTATTTTTTTCATTAATACAATGGTATGACAACAAAAGTAATTTGTTGTTCATTTCAAATTTCAGTTAAAATTCCATAGTTTATTGTTTTTAGTAACTATCTTGCTGTATTGGGACCTTATTACTCATATTATGTCTTTAATATATCAGTATAGTTATGTAAATCCTTCTGTTATTACTTATTATTTAGTTGTTTTTTTTTGTGTGTGTGTGTGTTTTTATTGTAATATGCATTTTTGCCAGATGTTATGTTAATTTTTATTTACAATATTGTTATTCTCAAGGGACTTTGTCCTTGATCTTTATCTCCGTGCCTTCATATCATGGGCCATGTTTCTGTAAGCAGTTCTTTATTGGTCTTTCTTCTCCAAGTGTTAGTATTCTGATCCCAGATATACATAAAACATAAATAGCTTAGAAAAAATTGAACTTTTAACTTAATTAGTTTGAAATGAAATGAAAATAAGGAGGATGGTATCGACATATTATAATAATTAATTTCACTGCCGATAAAGACTTTTGACTTTATAAAAACAAACATTTATTAGCATTGTGGTAATATTTACATTCACATTTACATATTTACATCAAAACAAATTATTTAACAACTTCAATAAAATCTTAATTAAAATAAGGCGCTAACAGGTAAATATTTTTTATACGTATCTTATTAAAGTAAGCATTGGATTGATACACTGGACAATAAAATATATATTAAATATGTGCCGATATATATTTTATTCCTTCAGTGCCATATCTGTCCCTGTAATAAATATTTTATAATCAATAAACTTATGAATTATATTTCAAAAAAACAAGCTTTTTTACTTTTTCTGAGGACAGCCGAGTCCTCCTTTCGTTTAAAATATTGCCGGCTTTAGAAAAAACCCTTTCACATGGCACTGATGTTACCACTGTACAAAATTTTTGTTTAACAATTTTTGAGAGAAATGGAAAATTGTAGGAATGTTCCCGCCACCATTTCAGCGGGTCGCTATTTTCAGATGGTAGCGGTTCCTCCAGGTAACGTTGTACTTCTGTGATGGCCCTTGACATCGGGGTCCCAGCTGGCTTATAATTAGCTGCAATTCGTCTGTATGTATTAAATGCAGCGAGCTTCTTTACAAGAGTGGAACTTGTCGAAGGAGTATCACTACTCATTTCAACTGTATCACCTGAAGGATCTTCTCCTAAATCTTGATTAATTTGGCTGGCCACCAAATTTATGATGTTTTTTTTTGCTGTTTCGGCTATTTTTTCTGATGGGAAAGCTATATTTTTGAATCTAGGATCGAGGAACGTAGCTGTGACAAGGGTTTTGCTTCCCTGCAAATTTCCCAGGCGACCCTCAAGTCCCTCCTTTAATTTATTAATTAACAATTTAACTGATGAAGAAAAATTGGGATTTTCCTCAATCATATTGTTATATAAATCCAAAATTCCTTGGATTAAAATTATAATAGAGGACCCTGTCACATAGTTTTCGCCACTTATGTGGTCCGTTACCTCTTTCATGGGTTGTAAGGCAGTAGTAATTTCTGCTGCTATAACCCATTCTTCTGGTGATAGCACTTCAATGGGTTTGTCAATGAGTGCTAATGTAGTCCGAATGGATGTTTCGAGTGAAACGAAACGGGAGAACATATTATAGGTGGAATTCCACCTTGTCGGCACATCTTGAATTAATTTTTTGGGTTCCAGCCCATTTTGTTTTTGAGTATCGATCAATTTCTGGGTTGATTGTGTACTATGTTTAAAGTGATTCACAATGGCCTTAATCTTTTTTATAAGCGATCCTAAATCTTCTTCTCCTGATTCGCTCTCTAGGGCATTCTTCACAATTAAATTGATCGTATGGGCTAAGCACCCAAAATGTTTCCATTTTAAAATGTCCGTAATAGCTTTTTTTATATTTGCTGCATTGTCACTAATGCATAATAATATTTTATTTTTTATCCCCCATTCCCGAGATACTCGGTCTAACTCCAATGCCAAGTTTTCACTTGTATGTTGCTTGGGGAAAGAGAAACATTCCAGCACGTTTGATTTAATTTCAAATTGATTGTTTATGTAGTGGGAGGTTATGGCCATAAAACTATCTTCGGTGGGCGAAGTCCAGCAATCGGTTGTAAGAGTTACTGAAAATATCTCCTCACTTAAATAATTTTTTTTTAAATTAATTATTGCTTCCTCATACATTGCTGGTATCAATGTCTGAGAAATTGTTTTTCTGGAGGGTAATACGTAATTCGGATTCATGCGAGATGAATAAACGCGGAAGCCTTCATCTTCAACAATGCTGAAGGGCTGAAAATCTTTTGTAAATAACAAAATCAATCCTTCATCTATGTGTTTTTTTTCAGGAACAGATAGCTTCTTCTTTAAAAACGATGTAAGGGTTTGTTGCTTAGGGCTATCCGTGCTTGTTCTTTGATAAGATTCAACATTAGATGTATTATCCGATGTTGATGCAGATTGGGGAGATATACGAAATAAATCAAATGTTGGTGTATGGGCTGGTGATGTTGTGGTTGGTACCGTTGAACCTTCTGAAACAGGTGTGGAAACTGCCCTTTTCAGTTTTTTAAAAGTATTTAGAGAAACGCCTGGATGTTTTCTGTTCATGTGTTTATTTAAATTTGAGGAAGTCGATATTTTAGAAAAAACCTTTTTGCAAATATTACATTTAATATTTTCATTGGATGTTGTGAAAAAATTCCAAATAAATGATTTTTTTTTATCCATGATAAATTAAAATTGTATAATAATAATAAATGTTAAAAATAAACTTATCAAATAAAGAGTACACAGAATTATTTTAACTAATCAGTTCAAATTAAATCCTAGAAACTAATGAATCCTTCATCCAATCTAATTTTCTCTCTTATCTGAAAAAAAAAAAAAGTAACATATGTATATTTAACTTATAAATGTAAATAAATTTAATAAAAATATGTTTATATAACAAAAAATATTTATATAAAAAAATATATTGTTGTTGTAAATGAGTATAATTTATAAATGGAATTAAAAAGTGTAATATTTTGTAATCATTAATACCATACTGATATGTACAGGAAAAAATATCTTTAAAAATAGACCAACCTTTTAAATACAGAGCATAAAATATGAGATGTCCAATTGGGGATGAAGTAGAGATCCTCATGTAAATTGTAAAAAACAATTTATTGGTTGCTATGCTGAGGTATCAAACTAGCAGGTCTTCGTTAATAGAAGAAATAAAGCTAAATAAACAAAATACAAAATAATGAAGAGCAATTGTAGAAAATCATAACGATTTTTTTTATATTTTTATTTATGTATACATTACATCATGTCATAATGATAAATTACATGTTTGTGGTTGCAGTAACCTTATACATGACAAACTAGTGGTATGAATGCTGTTTAGAAGATTGAAATCCATTTTTATAAAGTAGGAAAAACCTCATAAAAAACCTACATAAGATATAACTTAAAAACTAGATTATAATCCTTAAAATTACAAGAAAAACAAAATATAATTTATATACATAAGAAAACTATATATATAATTATACATTCATACATATAAATATATATATATATATATATATATATATATATATATATATATATATATATATATATATATATATATATAATTGGTAATTGGTTGTCTGTCGTGGATAATGAAGAGAAGAATAGTTGGGATGTTCAGTCAAAAAGGAAGGCAAAAAATAAATTATAATATTTATTTTTTTAATTTTTTTTTTTTTTACATTTTTTTATTTTTTTAATGTCAACAAATAAATATAATTTATTTTTTGCCTTCCTTTTTGACTGAACACCCCAACTATTCTTCTCTTCATTATATATATATATATATATATATATATATATATATATATATATATACACACACACACCCACACATATAAATACACATACACACACATCCTATAAATGTCATAACGATAATATGTGTGTATATAGCAACGAATTATTGAAGGAAGTTTTTCGACTGTTCAACATATAATGGGTGATAAATATTCAGGACGCAGTCATTATATAATTTTTATCGGTTCCGATGTTTCAATCCAAACATCTGGGTCATCATCAGAGCGTGTTTCGAGCACTACTTGAATACCTCCAGTGCTCGCAACAAGCTCTGATGATGACTCACATGTTAGAGTTGAAATTTCGGCACCAATAAAAACTTTATAATGACTGTGTTCTGAATATTTATCAGCCATTGAATATAACAAAAAATATTTATATAAAAAATATATTGTAGTTGTAAATGAGTATAATTTATAAATGAAATTAAAAAGTGTAATATTTTGTAATCATTAATACCATACTGATATGTACAGGAAAAAATATCTTTAAAAATAGACCAACCTTTTAAATATAGAGCAAAAAATATTAGATGTCCAATTGGGGATGAAGTAGAGATCCTCATGTAAATTGTAAAAAACAATTTATTGGTTGCTATGCTGAGGTATCAAACTAGCAGGCCTTCGTTAATAGAAGAAATAAAGCTAAATAAACAAAATACAAAATAATGAAGAGCAATTGTAGAAAATCATAATGATAAATGGGCAATTATATTATTTTAAAATAATAGATCATGAGCAACAAAATACGAATAAAAAATAGTAAATAAACCTTCTTTCTTTTTTTTTTAATTGTTTTACTGTACCAAAATTAATGGCTTGAACTAGAGAAGTAAAGGGATAACTTGCTCTGGATGGAAAAATTTAGAGGGGAGTAAATTTCTGGGGTTGAGTCGCCAATTTGGGTCACCGATCCCTTTATTTTCTCTAATTTACTCTTTTCAACTTGTTCCCTTGCTGTTTTCAGTTTGTATACAGTAATGACTAGAGACCGGATTTTTGTGAAGTGAAAGAGATCACATACAATAAAAATGTCAAAAGGTTCAAATCTTACAGTTAGCCCCCAAAATGTGTAAAATTGTGTATTTAACATCTCTAACATAGACTAATCACAGTTTGTGGTTAATTGTGGAAAACCAAGTTCAAATTTTCAATTGCATGCTAATAATGGTAATCACAGTTTTGTTTTAATTGTGGGGAGTAAAGATCAAACGTTCAAGTTTATGCCATTAAAATGTCTGTTGTCGTCTGAACCTGTCGAAAAAGTTAAAAACATGTAATTTAATACCACAGAACCAAAATCGTGCAATTTGGCGCCAATAGAGCAAAACGCGAATTTCGTGTAATATTAAATTTCAAAATATTTCAAAGGTCGTGAAGTGGATAGATAATCTATTTTAATTGTGTTACACGATCAGGAATAAAATGTGCAATCAAATGGAAATCGGGTCTCAGCGGATTCTCTACGCTCGATAGACACAAATCAGACACTTTTTGTAACAAAACATGGCATATATGTTTTTAAAATAAAAAAATAGATTGTATTTTATAGGAATATATAGCATAATCTAGAAAAAAAAAATTGAATACTCAATAGTTGACCGTAGTTTAATATTGAAGAAAGAGATGGTGACGGTCATAAACAACTTAAAATAGCGAAAACAATTTTATTTAATCCCGAAAAAAACTTAAAAGAGTGAAAACTACTTTATGTAAGCCAACTTTTCGCTCATACTAGGTCGAACAAACCAGATCTTCCTCAAGACTGCAACGAACAGGCTATAGAAAACTGTGGAAGTTATATGATATGTAGATGAAAAATTAAGATAATCAATAACTCGGTAAATAAAAAGTACATAAAAGTATCAAGAACATTAAAATATAAACACTTTAGAGATGGGTACGTAGTCGACTGTTGAAATTATAAAGATGAAATCATATTGATGAGAAAATCAAATGAAAATGAAGAACCATATAATGATTTTTTTGTTAAATTAACAAATAATAATTGAAAATTAAGAAATACGACAAAAAAAAACTTATAGAACTACAGTTTAATAAATATAAATAGTTTCATAGTATTTACCTATGGTTTGGAAGTAGAGACGCGCAAGAACTAAGGGTTTACCAAAATCAGTGGGTGGGAGGTGAAAAAGGGAATAGGTAACGGCCATTTAACGGCCATTAAAAATTAACCATTAAAAAAATATATCAAAACTAAATGAAAATCTAAACAGGTAATAATGAATACATAATTAGGTAAGAATAGATAAAAATGGTACGTAAACTAAAACTTATAAATAATGTAAAAATTAATTATCTAAAAACCAAACTAACTAAAAATCTAAAAGATGCAAATCATTCAGTTAGTAACCAAAATCTGCTGTCATTTGATGTCAACACATGTAATTTAATACCACAGAGTCAAAATCGTGCGATTTGGCGCTAAAAGAGCAAAACGCACTATTTCTTTGTCATCAAAATTCAATTCCGATCTCAGAGGATTCTCCAAACGCACTATTTCTTTGCGTTAAGTTCAAACATTTTCAGTTTTCAGTCTTTTAAATAGTTTTCACTATTCACACAGGTGAATTTGATTTTAATAGCATAAAATTGAATGTTTGAACTTAACGCAAAGAAATAGTGCGTTTGGAGAATCCTCTGAGATCGGAATTGAATTTTGATGACAAAGAAATAGTGCGTTTTGCTCTTTTAGCGCCAAATCGCACGATTTTGACTCTGTGGTATTAAATTACATGTGTTGAC